AAAAAAAATTACAAGTTTCAGCAGAGTACATCTCACCTGATAACTTAGTAAGTATGTATACATTTTTTTTTTTTTTGTATAGAATACATCAATTCTATAAATAATTTTTTTTTTTTTTTTTTTAGTTGCATTCTGATCAAAAAAACAGCACAGCATTAAGACCAACTAACTACTTCTACATTTGTAAAAATTGTTATATAATAGTTAATCTTAATTATATGTTTAAATAATTAGGTTATGCGGGCCATACAATATCATTCAAAGAATGACAATCGTCTTGAATGACAGTTCGACTAATGACTGATGGTTGCCATACACATACAACCTATGGTCAATCAAGATTGACAGTTCTCATTTATTCTACTCAGTAGTTTGTGTTTACTTTATTCTCTCTATACTGTTTAATTATTTTACTAATTTTACCAGTTTTAAATAAAATTCTTTTTGAATTTTTCACTTTTTTTATTACAATGGAAAAAGATGCACTTGTCGCTATTGCAATATATCTAGCATGTGAAAAAAAAAAAAGAAAAAGAAAAAAGATTCTGGATGGAAGAATGGTTTAAGAGACATGCATTTTCTCATCATAATCTACTTGACGAATTGCGTTTATCATCTCCGTCCGACTACAAAAATTACCTTCGTATGGACAATTCCACATTTTCAGAATTATTAGAAATGGTTACACCATTTATTTTTAAAAGAAGCACTCATCTGAGAAAATCTATACCACCAAGCAAACGTTTATCAAGCACTCTAAGATTTTTAGCTACTGGTGCAAACTTTGAAGAACTAAAGTTTATTACAGCAATTTCACCTCAATAAATTGGAAGAATTGTAGTTAAAACATGTGAAGCTATTACATTAGTATTAAAAAATAATACCAGAGTAAGTAATTTTTATCATACTTTAACTGAATTAGACTACTTTACTTTTTATTACTAGTATCAAGAAAATATTAAACAAAATATAATAATTGCAACTTTAATATTCCAAACAATTAATAAACTTAAAAAAAATTAGTGTTTTCCAATGCTTAAATTTATGTTAAGTATCAATTCTAAATTATAACAAAAAATAATATTTAACTTTTGTAACGTTCGGAAAAACGCACAAAAAAAAAAAGAAACACTAATGATGAAGAAAAGAGTATTTTTATTATAATTAGCTCATTTAGATATGAAAACTACTTACAGTACATGAAAAAATCTCTGAAATCAGAAAAATATCCTCTGCAGGAAGTTTATAATAGAATAACAGAAAAAACAACAACTATTAACCTCTCAATTAAATGTATTTTCAAATTATCCTATCTTCTCCAATGAAATTGATTGTCATAGCCATTTACCTTTTATGAGTATCTCGAATAAATTATATTCAAAATGTGTTTTAAATGTTGCAAAAACTATTTTAAGTGTGACAAATGAAAAAGATAAGTATTTTCTATGTCAAGATTATTCGTTAGTTACTGTACTATACATTATAAAACCTAAGAACAAACCAATCCAGTTTATGGTAAAAAAATTTATGAATGTTACAGAATTTAGTGATAAGCCAATTGCATCTCATATAGTTGGGATTATCTAGAACTTTGCGAGTTGGTCCTAATTGTTCTGAATAAACCACTATCAACAATTCACTGGCGAGCTCCAGGTCCAGTCCACCATGCACGGTGGATGTCAAAACTGATTTATGCGATAAAAATATTTTTATTTCGCAAGCAAAATAGTATATTTAATCTTACTAAGCGGGAAGAAACTCAACTACAATGGTTCGTGCTTTTCGGAGCACTACTATATACTAAAGTATGGATTGAAGCCCCTCTTGCAGCTGAAGCACCCAGAAACGATCTGAATTTTTGGCTAAATTTAAAAAAGTATGAAGCTATCGATTCTGAAATTAGCATTGCAGCTAGAATGGTATTAGAACGTCACTTATGGTATCTTTCGGATGAGCTTGTTGGGCTTGCTTTATTTTCCACAGAAGTCACATCAATTGAAAAATCAGAATTGTTATAGGAATGGAAAAAGAAACTGACAAAAGACAAATCAGAGGAAATACATCCCTCCTTAAAAATAATGTAAATTTAGGAAAGTTTGCAACTAAAAGAAGTTTAAAACTTTTAACTATTTTGGAAATAAAGGACTCATTTTTAAATTTACCGCCTGAAGAATGGACTCAAAACGAAGAATATCAGCAAAGAAGAGATCGCATCAAACAATTACGAGTCGTTAACGATACTGCTGAGCGTGGTGTTAAACTTTTTGAGGAGTATAATAAGCTATTAACTTATGATGAAGAGCAAAAGCAATTTTTGTTACAGGTTATTGAGGCAAATAGAAAAAACAGTTCCAACTGAAACTACTAAGAAAATGGCCATTGAAGCTGTATTTTCTAGTGAAAGTTCATAACTAATTGTCAATATTTAAATTTAACCTTAATATATTATTTTATTATATTATTTATTAATATATATTTAATCTAACCTTAATTGTAATAATTAAATAAAAAAATAATAAATACATATTTTTTTATGTTATATAAGAAACATGAAATCCAAAAAAAAAAAAGTTCATTTTTACAAGTGCTTGAGCACTGACTTCTAAAGAAAATAGAAAATCAACACTATCGGAAAACTATACTATAGATAAGTCTAAAAAAATAAAAGGGTGCCTCGGATTATAAGTCAACTTTTTTTTTTTTACATTTAATCGTGAACCACCCTAATATATATATATATATATATATACATATATAAATGCTCGCCATCCTAGTAAAACAAATGATATGCGCATACCTTAAATATAAAAAAAAATCAAAATAAACATAGTTTTAACGTAGACGCGTGTCTACGAATAGGAATTAGGAATATAATAAAAGAGATAAGAATATGTCGAAAGATCAACCGTCATTAACGACGAAACAAATAATAATAATAACAATAAAATTAATTTAAATTAAACGTAACGGGTTGCCAGCTAAGGCTATTTTTGTTTTTTTATTTTATTTAAATAATAATGGACATTATACTCACACGCCATAAGTTGGGCGTTCGCTCAACGGGAAGTTGGACTTGTTAGCCAGCCATGACGTTTTCGTACGTTTCTTAGAAAAATTCCTAAGCCGCCAGGAGCTTCTTCACCATCGAATTGTCTGTGGTGGGCGAACGAATTGGACAAAAAAAGACCGCGAGTTGTCAGTCGAGACGACTTATATAAACTTTATCCGGGCGGGAGAATTACGGGGGAATATGGAATGATTGGCCGAGAACTCGTTGCATTGTCGTATAAATATTTGACAAACTCATAATATACACTAAATCTCACAAGAAGGAGGCGCACAGTTCACCAGTGATGTCAGAGTCGCACGCCGGGTGTACAATAAAACATTAACACGTTCACCTCCGCACGTATATTCCTTGTCTAGTACCACACGATCACGGATCGTCGTATATTCTAATATTTAATATTCATATTATAAAGACATTTTTTTTAAATTTTGAGGAATGTGAAATACGTTATTAAATATTTTAATTAACATTTATTGTTTTATAAAAAAAATACTTTATTTATGATTCCTTATCAAACATGTAACATATTTTTATAAAATAAACAAAAATAACTTTGTAACTCTTGCGTAAATAAAAAAAACAATAAAATAATATAAATAACAAATCTTTATAACAGAATAAAATAGATAAATTCATTCTAAAACCGAATAATAATTAATAGTTATATTTTTTTATGGTACTCTTCAAAGCAACTTTCAAGACACAAACCCGATTTTTCATTGCATTCCTTACAATAATATACAATCTTTACGAATGCCTTTTCCTGAACAAATTTGACATCGTTTGTATTTGTATTTTTTTTTTTTTTTATCATTTTTTTCTACTCTTTTGGGAAGATGTTTTTCATTCTTTTTTTTCGTGATTCGAGTATTATATCCAGATCGTTTGGTAATAATGAGTAGTATAAATTGGGGGTTTCTGGCGCCACCGCCGCCGCCGCCGCCGCCGCTACAGCCGCCTCCCACCACCACTCACCCCCTCTCTTCCGCAAGATCGCGTACGTGCGCGACGTACATTATGAGTTATCACACATTATTGTTATCACATGATATCACACATTATTGTTATCAGTTATCATATATTATCACTTGTTATCATTTGTTATGTTATCATATATTTAAAAAATATAATATTCTGCGTTAGAATCGAACCGGGTGGATATCATTGTCCTACCTCGACTCTTAACCATTGAACAATATAGTCAATACTGATATATTTAAATACACGCTAAATAATATATACATAATCATATAAATATTCTCATAACGTATAGTTCCCTCTTATATTTTTAGAAAAAATAATAAAATGTAATTAAATATAGACTTCCTCGCCATTTATATTGAAAGAAACTTATAAAATATTCACACACCACCTGGACATTAGTGATTGAAAGACATATATATATATATATATATATATATATATATATATATATATCGATATCCACACAATACCTTGTAAAAACTATCGTCGTCGCCCCGACGTTTGGCGTCGGATTGACAATAAGATACATTTCCTATCATTAGGATTATTCGTTATACTTAATGATATTAAAATACCTATTTTAATGAAAAACATATTATTGTCCGATATTAGTACCTTCTGTCGGACGTATCTTCATACAGTGTAATATCAATAAAGTATCATTGACTGACCAATACTTAGACAGTGATTATATTCATGTATAATTAAAGAAAATCAATTAAAAATTAGCATACCAGCTTGAGTACGGGTATAATTAGGAAAATACAAATCACTGGATAAATAATTAATTAATTCGAAAAATATAATTGAACATCCCCCTCTTATAATAAAGAAAAATTACACCGATAAGTTACTACAAATGAATCAGTCGTACTTGAATCGCCACAAGTAATACTTGTCTGTCTGCCCGTGTTCTACTCTTAAAAATTTACCAAGTAAATTTAACATGGCTGGTTCAATCGCCGACAACTACGCTGCAGTATACAAAAAGTTTCGATACGTCGCGCCCGAATCTCCGAGCAATCTCATCGATCAAACTGGATTCAACATTGACTTTCAGAATCGTAAATTTATCAACATTGGCTTGGACCCGGCAAACGATTTCAACGTTTATATTCATATTATAACGCCATCACGCTACGTTAGTATTTCTCCAGATTTTTTAAAACGGATTTATTCCTTGATGGGACACATTTTATCATTCGTATTATCATCAACGAATAACAAACAACAAACATTTTTGGAGACAGACTCTATGCTACTCACTAGTATGTTATATCGAGGTGAGAGTGTCCTAGTCATAGAAGATAAATCTATAGCCGGGTGTCGTATTCTTCTGAATCGAGTGGATATTATGGCTTTGCAATATTTGGAATGGGTCATTTCCGAAACAATTTTGAAGAAAACACTATTTGTTCAGAATAAGGTTGTTGCTCAGTTTGAACAAATGTGTACATACTTTAAAAATGAGTTTAAAAGAGAACAAAACATTCATAATATGATTACAACAATAAAAAATGTAAGCGATGATTTGATTTCAAGCCATTTACCGAAGAGTGATTACAGTTTTGTCAATCAGATAAAACTTTTTGCAACAAAGCAGATAGCAGAGCGCTGTATTATTAAGATTGAGGTATTTGAAATCATAATTTTTAAAATTTAATTTAAATACTAATACATATCATTTTTTTTTAGGAACATGTCGAAACACAGATTATGACATTATCTCCGCCACCGTCACCCGATTACGTATTCAGTGATGCCGAAGAAATCGATGGGTCTTTTATGTCGCGTATGAAATCAACCAAGCCAAAGGCAAGATATATTTTTTTTTAATGTAATATTTTAATAATAATAATATTATTAATTTTAGGTATATTGCGATGAAAACGATGGTCCCATATCACTAAATCGTACGAGTAGATTTTCACCAATCAGCTACGATGTTACAGGTCGATATT